CAAACCTCCTTCCATCAGCAAGGGCAATGAAGATGAAACGTGGCTGGTCTTTCAGCATGACAATGATCCCAAGCACACTATATACAGTACATTTACGCTAACAAAAAAGTTAAAGATCCAAAGTGGTGAAAAAAAAACCTGCACATGTTGAAAGGTCCTGTAACTGTATGGCAATGAATTCATCAGATCAACCAGATACTGAAGTTGGCAGTAAATGTATTGCACATTGCTGGTCCCAGGTTTGTGGTGTATAAAAAACCCTCAGGCCTGGACACATGGGATGATTCAGWACAGAATGAGCTTGTACAGCTGCTGTAAGCTGCTCCATGGCTGTTGTACCTGGAGGTCAAGATCTGGAAGATCAGTACAAAGTTTGCGTTGACGTCTAAGCTCATTTGACACACACTGGGGGGAAAAATTATAGACTGGGGACCTGGCTAGACACAGGATGCTGCAGGCAATCCACAGACACATACTGTGTGTGGATAGGTGTTTTATTGTACCAGGGTGCTGTCTCATAAGGAGTAAGACATGAAGTCACAGACAAAGCACTGTGCTGTCTGGGTTTGTGGAGCCACTACCAGATGTGATTTGAAGAGCAGCAAACYAGCCCACCTTCATCACGCACCCTCTTAAGAGAGAAACGAGAATGGCCCTGCTAACTGACTATAAATCAAGCTTTAATCATGGCTCAGCTCCATKTTGTTTAGTAGGAAAGTAATATTGTACTTTTACTGGCTCGCAAAACACTGACCTTCATTCATGGCAGGAGTCATAACAATAGTTTTCTTGATTTATCAAATGGCTGAACTGAGGCTGAATAGTTCAATGAAAAGTAAAGAAAAAAATCATCCGCATTAGTAGYGGCTACTTATGTAGATAATAAGTTGAGGAGGCAAAAAAGCTGAGGTAGACAGGTGGACAAAGCCAAAGTACAATCCACAAGTGAATGTTGAATGATGTTGCTGAATGTTATTGAATGACATGCGGGCTGGAAGAGTATTAGTGCTCAGTGTGATAAGAATGCTATGCCGGTGGCAACTTAGTGTTAGCATTTTAAAAGGCTTTGGTCACTGGAAATTAGGGTTTGGCAATATTGGCAAAAAAATTAATCACGATTAATTGTGGTATTTAGCCGATAACGATTAATTTGAAGATTAATCCCCTGGAGTCCCTGGACACCCTCATGTCCTAGTCACATGACCAATTTAGTGGGAAAGATTTCATAAAAATCGGTTCCAAATTGTGTCAAAATTACAGACTTCAGGCTACACATCAAATTTAAAACTGTGTTGATAGATAAATAAATTGCAGAACTTTTTTTAATGTTCATCAAATTTGAAGCAGAGAGGAGCAGCGAGCAGATTCTGCCTGGTGGCATTAATCTTATTAATCGTCAAGTGCCAAAAAGTAATCGATTGTCTTTCTGACAATTAATTGCACACGATACGATTATGCCCATCCCTACTGGAAATCAATAATCAAACATGAGACAGAGCTTGTGGGGTAAAACAGTTAAACTTAAAGGTATTTATTCAAATACTGCATATCACCCATGCCAGAGTTTTAGGCTGATTTCTGAAAATCTTAGAGGTTTTTAGCCTGGTGAGTGTTGCAAATCAATGCATTTCAATCCCAAATTTTGTATGTACTAAGTGGGGGTGCACTTGCTTGGAGTGTCTGTGTGTGTGTGTGTGTGTGT